AGATAAAATTTGATATTCATTAGACATTAATGTCATAAATCGAAAGTCTTTCTATATAGATGCCACTTAAATTGTAATTCAGTGGATGAATTATTCTTAAAATGCATTGTTTGTTCTCGAAATAATTTAATTTTCACTATTTTCTTGTATTTTATATTATTTATTCGTTAAGGAAAATTTAGATATATAACACTCTTAATTATATAGAGGCATTTTATTCAAGGCGTGTGAATATAAGAAAGTAAAGCCGGCCTACTATATATAGAGAGGGTTAGTTGGTGGTTGCTCTAATACAATGGTTTAATACATTAATTAAAGCCTATTCTCTTATGCAGGGCAGGCAAAGTTATGGTTTGTTCGACAATACTTTTCAAAAGTAAAAAATAAAAATAAAAATAAAAATTCATAAGCTGCTTTTGATCTCGTTTAGTTGATTTTGTAAAAATAATTATTTTAATTAGAAGAGATTTTAGAAATCGATCTTTCAAAAAAGGGAGTTTTTTTTTTTTTTTTTTTCAAAAAATTAATTTTTAAACATCAATTAAGATGATTTTTTTAGAAAGTTATTTTACAAAAAATAGAAACCCCTGTTTGGTAGAGATATTAATCTAAAATGAACAATTAATTTTAACCACATATTTAAATTATACATTTTATCAAAATCTACTAAAAATATGATTTTAGTAGATTTTGATATTGAGACCCAAAATTTATTTTAGGACTCATTTGACTAATTTTATGAAAATATTTCTTGTGGATAGAAGGGATTTTAGAGCAAGTTAGTCCAATATGAGTTTCTCTTAAAGCCCTTTCTAAAATAGAGAACTCTTTTAAATATTAGTTTGCGGCAAAATAACCTTCTTTATTTAGCCGTGCTGAAGGGTTTTGATAGTTTGAAATTTCCAATAAAAGACAATTTTTTTTTTCAAATCCTTTGATTGTTAATTAGATAAGAATGGCCAAATGGGAAAATGGGCACAAATTTATCCCGGTCCCGACTCATCCCCACCACACCTCCCGAAAATATCCAATGATGCCCGGGCAAAGGGGCTATCCTGCCCATTGCCATCCCTAATTTGAATAACAAATTCTTGAAAAAATCGTACGTTGGTAATTGGTAAATGCATAACTAATTAACTACAAACCTAAAGCATTAACATATTTTTTAAATCATGTCATTGTTTTCGTCATATAAATTAACGTTTTCGTTAATTTTAGAAGATAGAGAGTCTAAACTTTCGAAAATAAATTAAAACATAAAATTTGGTGACTAAATCAAAAGACACTATTAATTCTTGACTAATACTGTTTTTAACTAAGCATATATTTGACAAGTGTTTATGTGTTTATAAATAAATAGATATGAGTGCCGATAAGTGTATAATACTTATGAAAATTTATTTGAATTTTAACAAATATTTATAATACTCTCAGCGAAGTAATTTACAATGTGAACAAGTTTTTGAAAATGGGGCAATTAAAATTGAGGATCCTAACGATGGTAGAGCGTTTAAAGTGAATGAGCAGCATTTCAAGATAGTTTATGGACAACATGTGCCTGCAATGGAAGAAATTGATCTTGCAGACCCTGTTTATCATCCTTGACATCACTCGTGTATGTTCTTCACTTTCCTTTTCTGTATATTAGTTTTGTTTTTATGTTTCTTGCTTTATTTTTTTTTTAATTGTGCACTTTTCAGGTTAACCATCGTTCAGACTCTATGTTGATTTACTTCAGTATTCAGGTGATACCCTTCCATTTGGTAGGCATGTTTAGATATTGAGGACACTGTCCAATTTGGTTGGGGGGAGAGTTCATTGCTGAGTTTGTCGTGAATTGCGTAGACATCATAGAATTTATGTTAAAAATAAAGAATAAAAAAATATTTTGCAGTTTTTATTAATTTATTTTTAGTTTTTAATTATTTATTTTCTAGCATTAGGTAATGGTTATAGTTTCGTGTGCTTGTGTGGGTTTGATAACAATGCCGACTATGATGTGAATATTGGAATATGTATAAGCTGTGAATAATAGAAATGGTGTACAATTAGATTAGTCAAAGCTTGTTTATGTGAAACTTGACATTCTTTATACACGATATTCATGTTTGACTTATTGAGTTAAACCATACATCTAATCCGTAAAAATCGCAATCAAATGGAAGCCCACATAATAGAATAATTCCAACATACTAGTCCAAAGATATTTCAGTAATATTTGATTCATAAGAATTAAGAAGGGATGGTTAGCCCTTACATCATGTTTGATTAAACTTAAAAGTTGCTTAAAAGCACCTGCATTTTTAGCACTTTTTAAGCTTGTCTAAGCATGCATGATATGCACTTATCATGCTAATTTAACTTTGTACACTAAGGCCCTGTTTGATATGTTACATTTTCCATGGAAGTTGAAAAAGATTTTCCTTTTACCACCTTTAGTGAATGTTTGATGCCAAATCTTTTCCATGGAATTACTTTTCCCACCTAAACTCACGCGCCCAGTTTTCCTTAGAAATGATGAATTTGTTTTCTTTAGATTTTGG